CATCCCAAACATTCACAATATCACGTTGGGCTTGGACTTTGTGCCGCCAACATCCCAAACATTCCAAATATCAAGTTGGGCCTGGACTTCGTGCCGCCAACATCACAAACATCACGTTGGTCCTGGATTTCGTGCCGCCAACACTCCAACATCACGTTGGGCCTGGATTTTGTGCCGCCAACATCCCAAACATTCCAAATATCAAGTTGGGCCTGGATTTCGTGCCGCCAACATCCCAAAGATCCCGTTGGGCCTGGATTTTGTGCCTCCCACGTCCCGATTAGGCCTGGATTCTGTGCAGTCGAGGCTGGCTCGAGTTTAATCCTACTAACCAATTCATCATATTGGGGCAAATTATTTTTGGAAAGTTTTTCAAAAAATCAAAAAAAATCAAATCAAAAAAAAAAATCAATAAAAATCAAAAAATCATCAAAATCAAAAAATCGAATCAGGTTTTATCACGGCAAGCTCGGGTTTGGTCCCACGAACCTATTGTCAGAACATTTTTCACTTGCACTGCCACTAGCCGTGGGTCAGTCCCACTAGTGAGCATTTTTCATTTGCATTGCCACTTGCCACGGGTCAGTCCCGTTTAAATTTCTGTTCGGGTCAGTCCCGTTTAAATTCTTGTTCGGGTCAGTCCCGTTTAAATTCCTGTTCGGGTCAGTCCCGTTTTAAATTCCTGTTCGGGTCAGTCCCATTTCAACATTTTGATAAAGAGATCAGTCCTCGTTTCAAGGGCGGCAATCGTTGGAATCATTCGCAGCCGAATAATGCAGGTAAATATTTGGTGTCTACTTCTTTGTCTCAAGTTTTTCCAAAACTCAGACAAAGAGGGGCAAACTGTAGACACCAAATTTTTAGCCTTTCTTTTTATTTATTTATTTCTTTATTCTAGGTGATTTTTGTTTGTTCATTTATTTATTTTACTATTATTTCTTTGTTTAATTTATCTCATTCTCATTTTTGTTAAGAAAATTATTTTTGTTAATTAATCCACTGAAAAAAAAAAAAGATCATCAATCGAACAAAAATTAGCAATTTTGTTTTATTTTTTAGTATTTGTCTATTTCATTCAATTTTACTTAATTTGTTATTTTTCGTCATTGTGTTTATTAATTAACTGGTTCATCTGGAAATAAAAAGAAAAAGGGAAAAGAAAAACAACAAAAATCAAATCAGGCTTGTTTCAAGTGAAAAGAAAAAAAAAGAAAAAAAAACTAACTAAGGAACGCGCGCTATTTCTTCATTTTACAAGTTTCGGACAACACAGAAAAATTACAGAGGCCATTTTTGACCTCCCTTTTCAACTCATTTTTGGGGTGGTTTTCTTTTTTTTTTCCTCGGGTCCTCAAGAGGAGGATAGTACAAAGGCTCATCCGATGGTTTACAATTCACCATCGAGGTTCAATTCAGCGGCACCATTAGATGTTAGGTTTAGGAATCTGGGTAGCTATAAAAAAGCAAAAACAGCCGCAGCGAAGAAGGGGGGGCTAAGAGCGGAAGTCTGAGGATAGTTGACGGCTAGGAGCAAAAAGGTCTTGAGGGCTGAGAGAAGGGGTAGGTTCTTTACGGCTGGAAGAGAAAACAGAGGGAAGGTCGGCTGTGGGAAAAAGGCTAGGGTTTTGAGAGAGGTAAAAGCTGAGGAAAAATGGAGAGCTGGGAGGAACCTGTTGACGGCTGAGTGAAAAAAGGCTGAGGGAGAGATCGAGTGAGAGGAAGGAACCAGAAAACCGAGGGAGAGAGCAACGGAAAGAGAGCTGGGGGAGGTGACGGAAAAAGGAAAAAACCAGCAAGGGGAAGAAAAGAAAAGGGGCAGCGGCTGAACAAGAAGAAACTTTTGTTTCTGCCTTCATACGGTGCTCTGGAAATCTCTTCACCAAAAAGTTTGTATCTTTGAAGTCGGCGTCTAGACGCAATCTCTTCGATTCTTCTTTGTTCACTGGACTCCATAAGGTGCTAAAGGTAATCCCTTTGGCCTCATATCTTCAAGCAAGCCCAGCAGATTGTATATTTCTTCTTTTTTCATCAGACTTGCATGATCTTTAATTTGTTCTTTGTTGTTATCATTTGTCCGGATTCTCCTCGAGTGTATCTGCTAAAGATAAGCCGTTGTGTTTGGGTTATGTTAAAACTGATGACTTGAGGGTTATATGGGTTTGGGGCTAATGAAAAGAAGGTTTTATCAGAGTTTTTGTACGAAAATATATGCATGAGATGAACCGCAAGCCCACAGTAGAAAGTTGCAGCAGGTTTGACATGTTTTTGATACGATGTGCTTATCTTGTTTTGATGCTCTGGGTTTTGCTTTCTGGAAGTTTGAACTGAAATTTTAGAGGTGGGTTTTCGGAAAATTAGATTTGTTTGGGTGTTATTTGATCATGCACATTTTGTCTGGTATTCTATTCTTTCATGGCTGTTTTGACAATAAAGTTGCCGAGAAGGAATGGAATTTCTGGAATTGAAATTTGCAAGTTGGAGTGTTGAATGCTGTGTTTCTTTGCTTGATCGAAGTTTGATGTTTGGTAGAATGTTAGTTGTGTTGGGATGGAAATTTACATGGAACTAGACATAGCCATGGTAAAGAACTGAACCTGGAAAGTTGCAGCAGAAATGGTTGCTGGAAAATGGATATCAGCCTGCCGAAAGTCTTTGTTAGGATGCATGCTGCGTTCGATAGTCTTGTTCTATCTGTTTTTTTTTTCTTTTTCCTTTTCGGCTAAGCTCCAGTACTTTCTGTTTTAGTTAGCAACTCAGTCAGTTCTTCTTGGTCTGTTCGCGTGAGTGCATCTAAAATGGATAGAGAAATTGCATAAGAATGGTTTTGAAGTTGCGAAAGTTGTTTGCATTGAATTTGCATGATTTCTCTCTAACGGGCGTACCTTAATCACCGACACAGTAAGGAGGGGTTGACTGCCATCGTTTGTTTGGTAGTTATAACCTATTTATTGGTAAATAATTGGGATTGCCTTTGCATCGATGATCAATTAGGTGAACCATTGCTGAAGTTATTTCTTGGCTAGATCTTTAATTAATATTACCTTGATTTTAGTGAATTGCCATTTGACTTTTAGTTGCCTACTTTACTTTATTTTTAATTGTTTTCTTGTTTTAATTGATTTAAACCTTTAATTATTGTTACTCTAGGCTTAGTGAATTGTTGTTTAATTCCTAGTTAGTTGTTTATTTTTATTTTCTTATTTGAATTTATTTAATTGTCGTCGTTCCTACAAAATTACCCACTGCGTTACTTTGGATTTCTTAAGAGACAAATATACCTAGTCCCTAAGAATACGACCCTACTTGCCCTGTTTACAAATTCATAATTATTTGTGAAAAAAAACCATCCCATTCGAGTATATCGGATCAAACAAACTCTTCGGGAACAGGGTGAATCAAGTAACCCATTGCACACCTAGAATCCCTGCTCCAGTACTTGGAATTGGGTTTTGGTCATTTTAATTGGTAATTAGGTTTAATTTTATTATTGTACAGGTTTCGACACCCTGTCAATTTTTGGCGCCGTTGCCGGGGACTGGCGTTATTATTTGTTTCTTTTTAAATTCATTTTTTGTTGCTCTAATTTCTGGTATTTTTATAGTGTATGTCTCGGTCTTCTCGTACAGGTGATTTGATTTTTGATCCTGAAGTAGAGAAGACCGCGCGTAGAACGAGAAAAGAAACCAGACAGCTCAGAGAGGAGCAGTCCAGCGTTGCATCTCAGAGACCTGAGCCAGGAGTTGAACCAACGGATTCGTTTGGTGACACTTCGAGTGACTCTGATCAAGAGGAAATTGCCATGGCTAATGCACGAACATTAAGGGAGTTGGCTGCTCCCAACTTAAACCAACAGCCTTTGCGCATTACTTTCCCAAGTTTAGATGATAGCTCTTCATTTGAACTAAAATCTGGTCTGATTCATCTTTTACCCTCTTTTCATGATTTACTAGGTGAAGAATCGTATAAGCATCTGCAGGAGTTTGATGTCGTGTGCAACAATATGAAGCTCCCGGGCATTACAGAAGAGCAAATAAAAATGAGGGTATTCCCCTTTTCCTTGAAAGATTCTGCAAAGGATTAGCTGTACTACCTGCCACTAGGTAACATCACCACGTGGGACCAATTAAGAAAAAATTTTTAAATAAATATTTTCTTGCGTTCAGGGCTACAAGTCTAAGGAAAGAAATTTACGGGATCAAGCAGCACCCAGGGGAGTCACTCTATGAGTATTGGGAGCGGTTCAAGAAGTTGTGCATCAAGTGCCCCCAGCACCAGATAAGTGAGCAGTTGCTCATACAGTATTTTTATGAGGGGCTCATTTTCAGGGACAGGAGCATAATTGATGCTGCAAGTGGAGGGGCATTGGTGAACAAAACCCTTCGGGAAGCATGGGAATTAATTGAGAGAGTGACAGAGAATTCACAGCAATTCGGTACGAGAGAGGATGTCCCAATACGCAAGGTGAATGAGGTAGAGACATCCTCTATCCAGCAGCAGCTAACTGAGTTGACTTCTTTTGCTAGGCAACTGGCTGTAGGAAATGCATCTCAGGCCAAGGTGTGTGGGATTTGCACTGGTATGGGTCATTCTACAGACATGTGTCCAATGATGCAAGAGGAGGGTGCAGAGCAAGTGAACATGGCAGGTCACGCGCTCGCGCCAAGAAGGCCCTATGACCCCTATTCAAGTACCTACAACCCTGGTTGGAGGGACCACCCTAACCTCAATTATGGAGGGAACAGACAGACTAATTTCATGTCAAATAAGCAACCAGGGTACCAGCAGCAGTACCAACCCTGACCACCTCATCCTCCGAGCTCTGGTCCATCTTTGGAGGAAATGATGAATCAACTACTTGCTAATCAACAAAAGTCGGACTCCGAGAGGTAGGACATAAGAAATCAGATGAATCAAATGGCCAAAACAATTAACCGCTGGAATTCCAAGTGCAAGGTAAATTGTCGTCTCAGCCTGAATTGAACCCGAATAATATAAGCGCGATGACCCTAAGGAGCGGGAAGGAAATTCTGGGGCCTGAGCCTGTAATCCCTAAGGACAAGGATGAGGAAAAGATTGAAAATAAACTTGAGAGGGAGGACGGCAATAGTGCAAATCCAAAGGTACTTCCAAACCCAATAATCACAGTTAAAACTAACCCGCCTCCTTTCCCTAACAGGTTGGAAAAATCGAAGAAACAGGATAAGGAGAAGGAAATCTTGGAGGTGTTTCGCAAAGTAGAGATTAATATCCCCCTCTTAGACGCAATCAAACAAGTACCGAAATATGCCAAGTTCCTAAGGGACTTGTGTGTCAATCAAAGGCGGTTGAGGGGAGATGAAAGGGTCATTGTAGGGGAGAATGTGCCAGCGGTCCTGCAGAGAAATCTTCCACCAAAGTGTGGGGACCCAAGTATGTTTACTATTCCCTGTAGAATACGCAACACTATGATTAGAAGGGCCATGTTGGATCTGGGAGCATCAATTAATGTCATGCCTAAATCTATCTATGATTCTCTAAAACTAGGTCCATTAAAACAAACTGAGATAATCATTCAATTAGCTGACTGAACTAATGCATATCCTGATGGGTTGGTTGAAGATGTGTTGGTAAAAGTTAATGATTTGGTATTTTCAACTGATTTTTATGTGCTTGATATGGATGATGATCACTCACCCGATCCCTCACCTTTGTTATTGGGTATACCCTTTATGAGCACAGCACAAACAAAAATTGATGTTAATAAAGGTACCTTGTCCATGGAGTTTGATGGAGAAATTGTACATTTTAATATCTTTGATACTATGAAATATCCCTCAAACTCTAACTTTAGCTCTATTTTTTCTGTGAGTGCTATTGACCCTGCAGTGCAGGAAGTGTTTGAAACTGTTGGCAGCGATGAATTGGAAGTTGTTTTGACCAAGCACCTCGAGTTGGAGACGACTCTTGAGGTGGAGTGGAGTAAAGATTTAAAATGCACGATAGGGGCATTGCACTCATTGCCGACCTCCCCAAAAAGGTGTAGACACCAAATTTTTAGCCTTTCTTTTTATTTATTTATTTATTTATTCTAGGTGATTTTTGTTTGTTTATTTATTTATCTTACTATTATTTCTTTGTTTAATTTATCTCATTCTCATTTTTGTTAAGAAAATTATTTTTGTTAATTAATCCACTGAAAAAAAAGAAGATCATCAATCGAACAAAAATTAGCAATTTTGTTTTATTTTTTAGTATTTGTCTATTTCATTCAATTTTACTTAATTTGTTATTTTTCGTCATTGTGTTTATTAATTAACTGGTTCATCTGGAAATAAAAAGAAAAAGGGAAAAGAAAAACAACAAAAATCAAATCAGGCTTGTTTCAAGTGAAAAGAAAAAAAAAAGAAAAAAAAACTAACTAAGGAACGCGCGCTATTTCTTCATTTTACAAGTTTCGGACAACACAGAAAAATTACAGAGGCCATTTTTGACCTCCCTTTTCAACTCATTTTTGAGGTGGTTTTCTTTTTTTTTTCCTCAGGTCCTCAAGAGGAGGATAGTACAAAGGCTCATCCGATGGTTTACAATTCACCATCGAGGTTCAATTCAGCGGCACCATTAGATGTTAGGTTTAGGAATCTGGGTAGCTATAAAAAAGCAAAAACAGCCGCAGCGAAGAAGGGGGGGCTAAGAGCGGAAGTCTGAGGATAGTTGACGGCTAGGAGCAAAAAGGTCTTGAGGGCTGAGAGAAGGGGTAGGTTCTTTACGGCTGGAAGAGAAAACAGAGGGAAGGTCGGCTGTGGGAAAAAGGCTAGGGTTTTGAGAGAGGTAAAAGCTGAGGAAAAATGGAGAGCTGGGAGGAACCTGTTGACGGCTGAGTGAAAAAAGGCTGAGGGAGAGATCGAGTGAGAGGAAGGAACCAGAAAACCGAGGGAGAGAGCAACGGAAAGAGAGCTGGGGGAGGTGACGGAAAAAGGAAAAAACCAGCAAGGGGAAGAAAAGAAAAGGGGCAGCGGCTGAACAAGAAGAAACTTTTGTTTCTGCCTTCATACGGTGCTCTGGAAATCTCTTCACCAAAAAGTTTGTATCTTTGAAGTCGGCGTCTAGACGCAATCTCTTCGATTCTTCTTTGTTCACTGGACTCCATAAGGTGCTAAAGGTAATCCCTTTGGCCTCATATCTTCAAGCAAGCCCAGCAGATTGTATATTTCTTCTTTTTTCATCAGACTTGCATGATCTTTAATTTGTTCTTTGTTGTTATCATTTGTCCGGATTCTCCTCGAGTGTATCTGCTAAAGATAAGCCGTTGTGTTTGGGTTATGTTAAAACTGATGACTTGAGGGTTATATGGGTTTGGGGCTAATGAAAAGAAGGTTTTATCAGAGTTTTTGTACGAAAATATATGCATGAGATGAACCGCAAGCCCACAGTAGAAAGTTGCAGCAGGTTTGACATGTTTTTGATACGATGTGCTTATCTTGTTTTGATGCTCTGGGTTTTGCTTTCTGGAAGTTTGAACTGAAATTTTAGAGGTGGGTTTTCGGAAAATTAGATTTGTTTGGGTGTTATTTGATCATGCACATTTTGTCTGGTATTCTATTCTTTCATGGCTGTTTTGACAATAAAGTTGCCGAGAAGGAATGGAATTTCTGGAATTGAAATTTGCAAGTTGGAGTGTTGAATGCTGTGTTTCTTTGCTTGATCGAAGTTTGATGTTTGGTAGAATGTTAGTTGTGTTGGGATGGAAATTTACATGGAACTAGACATAGCCATGGTAAAGAACTGAACCTGGAAAGTTGCAGCAGAAATGGTTGCTGGAAAATGGATATCAGCCTGCCGAAAGTCTTTGTTAGGATGCATGCTGCGTTCGATAGTCTTGTTCTATCTGTTTTTTTTTTCTTTTTCCTTTTCGGCTAAGCTCCAGTACTTTCTGTTTTAGTTAGCAACTCAGTCAGTTCTTCTTGGTCTGTTCGCGTGAGTGCATCTAAAATGGATAGAGAAATTGCATAAGAATGGTTTTGGAGTTGCGAAAGTTGTTTGCATTGAATTTGCATGATTTCTCTCTAAGTTTTCGTGTCAGTTGGGATGTCGAAGTTATGGGTTGTATTGCTTACTTTAAAGCTGGGATGTTGAAGCCTTGGTTGAGTTTCTTTGATTGTCAATGAGCTGCGAAATTGCAAAAAGAAGAAATCAGCAGAAACAAAGAAAGTTCCGTTGCATGCATGAAATGGTTTTCTAAAAATTGCACTTTGACTCCCTAAGTATTCCTTTATCTCACTATGGCTTGAATAATTGGAACGACTAATCAAGATTGATCCCTCAAACTTTCTTTTTCCTTCCAATTGGGCCCTTATCTAGTGAATATGGACAGTTTTAGTCATTTAAATGTTTTTTTATGATTCCATTTCGTACTTATGTCATTATTTGAGATGCCTTGACATTTCTTTGTTTTTGGAGGTTTAAAGTAATTTCGCTTCACTCGACTACCATTGCAAAAAAGGGGTAATCTCTATCTCCTTGATTTTATTTTTCCTACGTGCTCCTATATGTTTTGTGTGAATATGCATGCTTTAATTCGCTTTTCAATTTTATAGTTTAATTGCTGGTTTCGCTTTCTTTAATTAAGCAAGACATTTGAGGGTATTCGAGCCCCAAATTGTAATAGTTAGTCTTTGGCATTTTCTTTTCCAAGCTTTTCCCCCTTTTAGATTGTAGTAGGCCCCCCCTCAAGTGTAATAGCTAGGGTTTTATTCGCTTTCTTAATCGCCTTATGTGTTTTGCATGCTTAGGTGCTATGTGTTTAATCGCTTTCTTAGGTTTTGGCCTCTAGATATGCATGCTTATGTGTTAAGTGAATTACGTACTCACATGTCTACTTGCTTTAATTATGTACATTACTTATATATGTGTATAATGGATGCAAATGCACATAACCGTGGCTAGTCCAATGCTAGTCATGGTTGTTCTCTCGAGCTCTTACAAGTCCAATGCTTGTGAGAGAGCGTAGATGTGGGCTAGTCCAATGCTAGACCCAATAGGGCCTCCTCTCGCTAGTGCATTTTCTTGCATGTCTCACTACATTCCATGCATTTTTCTTAGTTTTCTAACATTTGGCATGCTCCTCCAAACCTTTCCCCTTCATTTTAGGTTTTTGCATTTTCATGCTAGTTATAGAGTACATTTGCTTGAGAGTCCCCTTTCGATAAGGGAAACGAGCGAGTGTGGCTACAAAATAGCCTTAACATGCTAGTCCTTCCTTCTAATCAAAGGGAAAATTAAAGTCGTGAAATTAGGAGTCATTCCCGTACCCGACTTGATGCATTCCTCTAGGTTCATACACTCATTTTTATCATATCACTTCCTTACCTTTTTTATCCACATTCTCTCACTACTTATATTTTTCTCAATTCACATGCAAGTTGCACTTATATGCATTTACTACCATTATACTATATTTTCATTCACTTGCACACAAACACCTTTATTTTCTCAATTGGCACACATGCACTTTTCTTACATTTGCACACATGCACTTTTCTTACATTTGCACACTTACACTCATACTTGAGTCTTCATTTGCATTATTCATGACCTCTATGAGGGCTTTCCTTACTGGCCATCACAATTCATGTGGTTGGGACCAAAAAGCCTCATAAGAGACATTTTAGATTTAGGATTGCATCTTTTTCATATCCATTAGTTACATCCAACATGCAACGCATATTTTGGGTAGAAGAATTAGGAAAAGTGGGGCTAAGTCACGCAACTAGCTTTGGCTAGGGTAAGGGAGTGCCTTAGGCTTTGCCTTTGCCTTCTCCCTTATCAAATGTGACCCCCGATCCCTTTTCTTTGGTTACGTAGACCTAAAAATTCTTTAAAGGGTTTGTTCACTTTTCTTTTCCAAAAAAATCACTTTTTGGGTGACTTGGTACACCCTAACTCTATACCAAGTGGCGACTCCTTTTCTATCTAAAACCCTTTGTTTGGCCAAACCGTCGCATTTCACAATCCCACGGCCATTTATTTTCACTTTCACACACGTTCACATACATATCCTACACACTACTTTCATACCTTTCAAAAAGTGGGGCGCGACAAAAGGTACGAAATTTCACCTATATTCATTCCCGAACCTCACCAAAAGGTATTACCATCGGTGGTGCAAGCACCCGTATTGGAGTTGAAATCTCTGCCGAAGCATTTGAAATATGCGTATCTGGGCGACAATGAAACACTTCCGGTAATTATCTTAGATTCACTCTCGAAAACTCAGGAGGAGAAGTTGATCCGAGTCCTTAGAGAGCATAAAGAGGCGATAGGTTGGACCATCACAGACATCAAGGGAATCAGCCCCTCCATCTGTATGCACCGGATTAGACTCGAAGAGGATGCTAAACCTGTACGGCAGGCTCAAAGGAGGCTCAATCCCCTCATGATGGAAGTGGTGAAGAAAGAAATTTTGAAACTGTTAGATATGGGGATCATCTTTGCGATATCAGATTGCCCTTGGGTGAGCCCGATCCAGGTAGTCCCAAAGAAGGCAGGAGTGACGGTAGAAGCCAACCAAACGGGTGAGTTCGTGCGAGTGCGCAAACCCACTGGATGGAGGCAGTGTATTGACTACTGTAGGCTAAACGCCATCACAAAAAATGACCATTTCCCTCTCCCTTTCATTGACCAAATGATTGAACGTTTGGCTTGTAGAGTTTATTATTGCTTTTTGGATGAATTTTCAGGATATTTTCAGATGGCAATTGCATCAGAGGACCAAGAGAAGACGACCTTCACGTGTCGCGTACAGACGGATGCCATTCGGGTTGTGCAATGCACCTGCAACATTCCAGAGGTGTATGGTGAGTATTTTTTCTGAATATATGGAAAAAATTATTGAAGTTTTCATGGACGATTTCAGTATGTATGGTGATAGTTTTGATACATGTCTAGATAACCTGAAATTGATCTTATTAAGATGTATTGAAACTAATCTCGTGTTTAACTGGGAAAAATATCATTTTATGGTTGAGCACGGGATAGTCTTGGGTCATATTGTATCTTCTAAGGGCATCGAAATTGACAGGGCGAAAATAGATATTATATCTGCTTTATCTTACCCCGCGAGTGTGCGTGAGATGCACTCTTTTCTTGGACATGCAGGTTTTTATCGAAGGTTCATCAAGAATTTTTCAAAAATTGGAGTCCCGTTGGTCCAACTCTTACAAAAAGATGTGACCTTCGAATTTGATGACAAATGTGAGAGAGCCTTCGATAAGTTGAAGGAACTATTAACCTCGCCATCGATCATTCAACCCTGTGACTGGAGTTTACCATTTAAGATTATGTGCGATGCCAGTGATCATGCTGTAGGGGCTGTATTGAGACAAAGAGTAGGAAAGGCAGCTCACGTCATCTACTATGCATCCCGAACCCTGAATGGGGCCTAATTGAATTACTTCACTATAGAGAAGGAGTTTCTTGCGGTTATTTTTGCTTTAGAAAAATTCAGGTCACATTTGCTAGGTGATAAAGTGATTGTATTTTCTGATCATGCAGCATTAAGGTATCTAATGACCAAAAAAGATGCAAAACCGAGGCTCATCAGGTGGATATTGTTACTATAGGAATTTGACCTGGAGCTAAGGGATAAAAAAGGCTCAGAGAACCTAGTAGCCGACCATTTAAGTCGCATACCAGTTGGGGAGAAGAACGAGCTATTGAAGGATGCATTCCCTGAAGAGCATCTATTTTCTTTAAAGTCTCAATTGCCTTGGTATGCAGATTTAGTCAATTATTTGGTAACGAGTAATTTCCCTGCAGGTTGGCCGAAATCGAAGAGGGATAAATTGAAGAGTGACGCCAAGTATTTCATCTGGGATGACCCGTACTTATGGAAGAGATGTACTGATCAGGTGATGAGGCGATGTGTAAGTGAAACTGAATTTCAACCAATTCTAACTTTTTGTCATACTTTTGCCTGTGGAGGTCATTTTGAACCCAAGAGAACTGCTCATAAGGTATTGGAAAGTGGATTTTATTGGCTTTCATTGTTTAAAGATGCTTATGTGTTTTGTAAGTCGTGTGATCGCTGTCAAAAGGTAGGTAATATAGCCCGTAGAGATTAGATGCCCCAAGTCCCGTTAATTTTTGTTGAAATTTTTTATGTATGGGGTATCGATTTCATAGGGTCTTTTCCTACCTCATTTGGTTTTGTGTATATTTTGTTGGTAGTCAATTACGTGTCTAAATGGGTGGAGGCCAAGGCCATCCGGACTGATGATTCGAAAGTAGTTGCAGATTTTATCAGGTCTAATATTTTTGTGCGATTTGGAATGCCAAGAGCTATTGTCAGTGATAGGGGAACACACTTCTGCAACAAAACCATAGCTGCGTTGTTTCACAAGTATGGTGTACTCCACAAGGTCTAACGTCATACCACCCTCAGACCAATGGTCAAGCGGAGGTATCGAATCAGGAGATTAAAACCATTTTGGAGAAAATGGTGCTCCCCGATAGGAAAGATTGGAGTCAACGGTTGGAAGATGCATTCTGAGCCTATCGGACGGCGTACAAGACCCCCATAGAGATGTCACCGTACAGATTGATATTTGGGAAGCCGTGTCACCTTCCAGTGGAGTTCGAGTACAAAGCTTTCTGGACGATAAAACAATGCAACATGAATGTAGAAGAGACCGGTGCCTAACGAAAGTTGGATTTGCAAGAATTGGAGGAGATTCGGAACGAAGCCTACGAAAATGCACTGATTTATAAGGAGAGAAGTCGGGCATTTCATGACCAACAAACCTCTAGAAAAACCTTTGAAATTGGTCTGAAGGTCCTCCTGTACCAATCCAGGCTTAAGCTCTTCCCAGGTAAGCTACGTTCCCGTTGGATTGGACCTTTTATTGTTACTCACGTGTTTCTATATGGTGCAGTTGAAATCTAGAGTTCTAAGACAGACAACAAGTTTGTGGTGAATGGACACCGTCTCAAACATTATTACGAAAGTTTTTCAAATGGAGACGATGAGTATAGATGCACCACCGTGTCCCACTTTGTAGCACTTTGCTATGTTTAGCCAAAGACGTTAAAGAAAGGCGCTCATTGGGAGTCAATCCAATTGTTGCTTTTAATTATTTGTTTGATTTCGTGCGATAGTTTAGATATGTTTTCCTTAAATTCGAATGATTTCGAGTTTCAATTTTTGTTTTGATGATTTGTAGGTGTCCCTCTATCATCACGCGCCCGCGTCATGACGTATAGAGAGCTCATGATCAGAATCGCCAGAAAGGATTCCTGCCCTTATGACGTGCCCGCGTCATGACGTATGAAGAGCTCAAGGTCAGAGAGGTTCCCTGCCTTCTTGACGTGCCCGCGTCATGTTCGCAGGAAAGGTGAGGATTCAAAAAAAAAAAAAGAGGAAAAAAAAGACAAAAATTATTATTGGTTAAAAAAATAATTATTATAAAATTTAAAATTAAAATAATTTAAAATAATAATAATTAAAAAAACCCTTCCCGTAAAGACAAAAGCAAAAAAAAAAAGGGAAAAAAACACAAAAAAAAATCATTTTGTTTTCATTTTCTCTTTTTCTTTTTTTTCTTTTCTTTTTTTCTCCTTCCTTTCCTTTCTTTTTCTTTCTTTTCTTTCTTTCTTGTTCCTTGTTCCTTCCTCCTACCAGTCGCCGCTCGCTCTTGCCGCTCGCTGCTGCGCACCGCCACTGGAGACCGCACGCCAAGCGACAGCCGCGCGCAGCTAGCCCCACCTCCAGCGCCGCTTCCTCCTTCCGCTTCGCACGCCACCACCACCAGCGCCGCTGCTCCTCCCCTCAATCCGCCGTGTCTCTCTCGCTGCGTACCGCCCGCGCTCCACCGCCATCAGCTCCTTCTTCCACCACTGCCATGCAAGGTAGTCGCGCGCCACCGCTGTGGCAGCTCGCATCTCTCCTTGCACGCTGTCCACTGCGTTTCTCCCTTGCTCTCTCTCTCTGTCCGCAGCCTCTCACCATTGCCACGTGAAACGCGTGCCACCGCCCTTTTTCCTCGCCGCATCTTCACTCCCGGTGGTCCTCAAGGTGGAGGTATTCGTCTAACTCCTGTCATGTTTTGTGTCCATCAATCGGTGTTGGTAATTTTGCAATTTCAAATGCATCGGGCAATCTTGGAGTCAATTGGGATTTATTTTACCGCTTTAGTTATTGCGTAAATTGAAGTGAATCGTTGGACTACCACTGAGTGCTGTTTTGCTTGGGTTTTTGTTGAAACTTTCTTAACTGGATTGTGCATTTAGTTACTTTTCCTGGCTCCCCTTCTTCACATATTCAGTGATGTTTTGGGCCTCTGTAAAATCTTTGTGGGGATTGGCATTTCCATTGAAAATTTTGCTGATTGGGTTTGCTATTTGAGACTTTTCATTTACTGGAGTGTGCCCCCAGTGGTACTGGTGGGAGTATTTTTACTTGACTTTGTTCACTCTATTTGGTTGGATACCTGATTGTCTGCCAAGGGCTTGTGATTGTGTTGCTCTTGTTGCATTTCTGAACTACTATTGCTGGATTTAGCATATTACTGGGATACTTGTTGAAATTTTAGTTGGACCGTGGTACCTTTGACTGTGAGTTGGGGTTTTCATTACTTTGGGTCAGTCGTTGGAATTGTTTCCTCAACTCTGTGGGCATTTTGACTCAACTGGATTAATTCTACTCTATTGAAAAAATTGATTGGAAGTTGGAAGCTTGAGATTTAGTTGTTACTGTCGGATTTCTGCACTATTATTGCTTAAATTGTTGACCCCTTAGGCTCTTGCTATGGGATAGTGCTGGGGACATTTGTTCAACTTTTTGGGGGGGGGGGAATTGTTGAGTTCTTGGGTGGGCTGGAATTTTGCACTGTCTATTGATATTTGGGTGACTTGTTTCTACAATTCCCTGTTGAAGTCGGTAACCTGGTCGTTTGGTTTACTTGTTGAGATTGGTGGTATTCGGTCGATTTGTTGGGGACATTCTAGCAATTGCGTTGAATTGCTACTTCTATTCACTGTAATTTTGTCCTCTGTTGACTCTCTGTTGCAACATTGGGTATTCCTATTCTCTGGTGGTTAAATATGTATTTGGGGACTGTCGCCTTTGCTAGTTGCTCACGGGGTGACAATTCGGTATTTTGTTAATTGAGCTGCCTATTGGGAGACATGGTGAAACCAAGGTCATCCTCTAGGTCTAGAGCCTCTCAATCTCAGCCCTCACCCCAAGCCTTCATTCCTGTGAATACATCTACCAACCTACCCTCCTCTTCTAGTGTCCGAACCCGCTTGGGTAGAGGTAGAGGTGCTCAGGTGAATACCCCGGCTCACTTTGGGGGGCATTTGACCTTCACTAGACCCGCCGATCAGCAGAGATACGCTAAGGTCTGTGAGAGGCATATCATATCCTGTAAATCTTGTGACAAACTGGCTATGATTGGCCTAGGCATACGAGAGGAGGTTGAGCAGATGTTTACAGCCATAGGGTGGCGCCCATATCTTGATATCTTCTGTCCCGCCTTTGTCGAGCTGATTCGGGAGTTTTACTCCACCTTTGAGTTTGAGTTACCGACGAGATACACCGTTGAGACACCAAATGTCATTCATTTCCGTCTGATGGGTCGGGAGTTTAATTTCTCCATTACCCAATTTAATCTGGTATTTGGGTTCATTACTCGAGAGTATGCTGAGACTAGGGAATATGCTGAGAATGCCTGTGATTATATCGAACCATTTCTCTCCCGCTACCACGACGTGTGGGAGGACATGTCCACCGATGGGCACCGCTACGAACCTTCTAGGTCTAGGAGCTCCTTTATTAAGGACCCTAGTGCCCGATACGTTCAGCGATTCTTAGCCTACAGCTACTTCGGTCGCAAAGACAGCTCCAATATTCTCTCTCAACCCGAGTTCTTCTTCATCTGGAGTATGAAGAATAACATCAAGGTCAACTTGGGGTGTTGGTTGGCGGCACAGTTCAAGACTGTCTTAGCCAAAAAGAACAAACCCCTGATCCTTGGGTCCTATATCACCCACTTGGCGATACAGTTGGGAGTTCTTAACCTGGAGGACCATGACTTACATTTGGCATTTGAGATGGAGCTCCTGGACGTGGACTACTTAGAGAAGATGGGAGTCATCGTGCGTCTGCCCGATGGTTCTTACCAGTTTACCCCTCTGGGACCAGTTCGAGCTGCAGGTGCACACCTTTCGACACAAGTAGAGCCCTCTTCATTTCCTGGGTCAGCCGAGGACACTGCTGGGCCTTCCTTTTCTGCGCCACCTCCACCACTTGGGACTTCTGAATGGCAACAACTCCGGGAGCAGGTTTAGAATTTGGAGGCCCGGATGCTCAACATCGATGCCAATGTAGCCGGCATGGCGCAGAATTTGGCACAATTTCTGGTTTATACGGGTTTCGCTCCTCCATTTCCACCTCGTCCACCACTTCGACCCGACTTCATGGAAGTTTAGTTGCCCTTTCTCCTACTTTTGCTGTTTATTTGTCACATTGGGGGCAATGTGCCCTCTAGGTGTGGGGGGGATCTAATGGGGTGCCTGTGTTTTTCTTTTAGTTTTTTTTAGTTTCTTGTAGTTTTAAGTTTTATTTTTAGTTCGTGACTTTTCTATCTTTCATTCATTTTCATTCTTTCTTGTTGGTGTTTAGCTCTCATGTGAATACCAGGATTTGGTGTTGGGGTATTGCCTCTAATTCTACTTTTGCCAAGTTTTTAAAATAAAAGTGTATCGAGTTAATGTGGTTGAGTCCAAAACATCTCTTTGGTGAATATCGGACTGCTTGACTCTTTTGGTTTCTTTGTTAACTTTTCTAGGTATAGGAAATGATTGTTGGCTTTTTAATGTGAATTGATCCAATATTGACTCTAGCTCTCTATGTTTGGCATTAATGAGGCGAGCTGCTCCTATTTTTGGTTTTTAGTGTTGTTATTTTGCGTTTTTGCGTTGTTTGGCTGTGAATAAGCTTGACTGTACTCCGCTATTAGTTACTACTGAGTAACCGGGGATCTGCACCTAAAAGTGTTGATTCTCGCGTCAAAAAGTTGTACTTTCTATGAGTACGCGGTCGTATAGTGGTAGGAGCTGAGTAACCGGGCTCCTTTATCTAAAAATGTTGGAGTTCGCGTCAAAAGGCTCCAATGGCTAGAGACTAAGTCTTTTTGTGTTATTATTATAAAAAAAGGGAATGCAAAAATAATAATAAAAAAAAGAGAAAAGTGCAGGTTGTGTTAATGCGTGTTAGAGGTCAGATTGCCGATTCATGGACTTAATATGGAGATTTTGGTTAATATTTGGATTGTTTGCTGATAAATGTTATGCGCCATTCCTTTTTCTTAGATTAGCTAATTTGGAAATTGAAGGAGTTTATGGTTTAGAGGCTAACTGGGGGGATGCTTCTCGGATTTTAATCACTAGTGCTCGATATATGATTTTTCTTGATATCTTGGCAATTTGGTAGATAGAACAATGACCATTATCAAATTTTGGTGTCTGTGTACTTTTCTTACGCTTGAGGGCAAGCATGGTTTAGGTGTGGTGGGGATTGATAAGTTGCAATTTTATCATTTATTTTATTACTAATTTCCCCTATTACCTGACTTGATGTGGATTTATTATTGGATTCTACTCACTTTTCATAATTTACAGTTATTTCAGGGAGTAGATCGAAAACACCACAATCAATGCCAATTTGACAGTCATCAGGAAAGAATTCAAATAGAAGGCTTGTAGGGGCATTTTTGGAACAAGGAGACGCAAGCCCTTTTTGGTCATTTGGCCGAAGTCTTCTTTTCCCTGGGAGCCGCCGCACAAAGGAAGACCATTAGATAGGAATTGGATTGAGTAGCGAGGGATGATTATCTCCTTTAGCTTAGTGTTTCTTGATTTTTCTTTTCTTCTTGCTCACGAATGTCAGGGCTTAGTAAATTAGCTTGACTTTTCTTCCTTAGCTTGTGGTAGTGGGATTCATCTACGGATGTCAGGAGCAAAATTAGGAAAACCTTGACTTTTCTTCATCTGAATTATTGGCAATTGCTTTTGCTTTTTCGTATGTCATCCGAAGTGAAACAGAGGGCTACCTCTTGTAACTTTGCTATCTTTTCTTGATTGGAGCGAATTGAATTTTCCCACTTTCTATGACAATGGCCGCGACTCTTGTTTCAACTTCCTGCGGATTCAATTCATCAGATATGAACTAATTTCCTCACACTAGTCAAGAAACAACGGATGCTTTGGGTTGCCTAAAAATTGTGAGATCGATTTAATTATATCTTTCTCTTTTATTTATTGGTATTCGCATATTCCTCGATTGCTATGCTTATGGTTATTTAATTAATTGATTATCTTGGATCTGGATAATTAGTTAATTTGGTAATCTATTGTCAATTAGGGCATTTAAATCCGTAATTGTTTAATTGCCTTGAATTAGTGACAACTGGCACGATTGGATTTGTGTCAGGGGGATACGCGGGCTAATCTGAAATAACCCTGGTAGCGCGTTATTTGGTTAGAATAGGGCCCCTCTAATACGTAAGGTAATTGGGAAATTAAATCTTATGGGCGTACCTATGATTATTTCCTAATTAGAGCAGTGATTAACGAGCGTACCTTAATCACCGACACAATAAGGAGAGGTTGACTGCCATCGCTTGTTTGGTAGTTATAACCTATTTATTGGTAAATAATTGGGATTGCCTTTGCATCGATGATCAATTAGGTGAACCATTGCTGAAGTTATTTCTTGGCTAGATCTTTAATTAATATTATCTTGATTTTAGTGAATTGCCATTTGACTTTGAGTTGCCTACTTTATTTTATTTTTAATTGTTTTCTTGTTTTAATTGATTTAGGCCTTTAATTATTGTTATGCTAAGTTCAGTGAATTGTTGTTTAATTCCTAGTTAGTTATTTATTTTTATTTTCTTATTTGAATTTGTTTGATTGTCGTCGTTCCTACAAAATCACCCCCTGCGTTACTTTGGATTTCTTAAGAGACAAATAGACCCAGTCCCTGAGGATACGACCCTACTTGCCCTGTTTACAAATTCATAATTATTTGTGAAAAAAAACCATCCCATTCGGGTATATCGGATCAAGCAAATTTTTCGGGAACATGGTGAATCAAGTAACCCATTGCACACCTAGAGTCCCTGCTCCAGTACTTGGAATTGGGTTTTGGTCATTTTAACTGGCAATTAGGTTTAATTTTATTATTGTACAGGCTTCGACACCCTGTCAATGATTTTGTTACAAACTAAATATTTGTTAATTAAATCTTTTGATAATCAATACAGGCTTCAATAACTTGCTCATTTCTAACAATGAAATGGCAGAATATGGTAAGCCATCAATATAAACTCAGTTTATACTGAAAGTATATAGAAGATTTACTCTTTTAGCTCATTGCATTTGGTGTCATTTGCTCCGTAAAAGAGTTAAAGAGTTTTATTGCGAACGTGTATGCAATTGAAGCAGTCGATGGTAGTTGTATACTTCTCATAATGGCTCCAACACTCACATCCAATGTTTTTTCCTTTTCTTTTTGTGCTTTTTATGTGTCTCTATGGCACCCAATTAAAAAAAAACCAAACACATATTTTAATTAACATATCTAGTCTATTGGGGAATGCCATCGTTTTCAATTGGGTTGTGATTGCTGACGTGGCGTGCTGCTATTGGTTGATTGGTGGTCGTCCGCCCGTGCGAATTTCCAATTAATGGTTGTTCGTTCTCACGCGTGAATTCTTTTGTTTGCTTGCTCAGGCGTTTAGCAATCCTTTTGTTTCCTTTTGTGCGGGTCTTTGACCACCAAGTAAACTGGTAAGGGAGAGGTCTCCCTCAATTCTTGGCTTTTGCAACAAAGCTATTGGCTGAAGAGTGGCAGAGCTGGTCAATCCACATCAATCACCTCAATTCGTTAATCCGTTGTACTAGAAGCTTCTTTCTCATGGTTTCCTCCTGTTCTTCTCTCTTGAGTTTTCATCTTCCTCTCAAGTCCACCATTTCTCCATATTTGTTCTGTATACATTTTTCCCCCCTTGATTAAATTTTCTCTCATTCTCTGATAAGTTTCATATTTTTTGTCACAGGTTGAGAGGTCAGACTATCAACTAAACCATGAAGAAATGTGGAGATTGTTCTCTAAAGGTGAACACTTTCTCTGTGATTTTCTTTTTGCTTTTTTTTTTTTGACATTTTCTCTGGATTTTTTCCCTTATATCTCCGTAATAAATCTTTTCTGGCCAAGGTATTTGTTGGATAAATAAGAAAGGAAAAAAGGATGCAATCTTTCTGTGTTCGATGGCTGTTTTCTTTCCCGAGATTTGTTATCAACAGATCTGATTTTCTTAGATCTTCAAAAAATCACGTCTAATTATTTTTCTTTTGTGATGTTGCGATGTTGCAAGTATGAAATTTGGAGATTTTCTCCATCGTCGTCATGCTATTTTGTAAGCTTTTTCCCCCTTTTGAAGTCCCTTTTCCTCTCTTATCCTTCGTTTTCTCTGATTGACAACAACAAAACCAAAGATCTGGTTGGAATTTTTTGCTTCAATTCAAAATCTCCTTCGTTTTCTGTTTTTTTTTTCATTTTTCTGATATTTCTATTTTCTTGGCTAAAAGTAGAAAATCTCTTTTTCCCATCTCCTTCGTGTCCTTTTGTGAAACAATGAGGAAGGGAAAGGTCAATATTTCATCTCCACTATCTGATGTGAATTTCTAGAATGCATATATGGTACTTTTCTTCCCCTTTCATCTCTGTTTCATTTCTGTTTTATCATTGATTTTTAATTTTTAATTAGAAGAAAAACTTTTAATATCGTATGAGATGATGAATAATTGAAGATTAGCTAGCTTTTAGATATTTATTTACTTAATTGTTTATACCTCTTTGGTGTTTTGTTCTTCCATTTTTGCCTTTCTTGGAGGAAAAATGGCCACCCATGAAAAACAACTGGTAAGGGAAAACATAAGTTTTGTTGTATCATTCTGATTTAATTTTTTTCCCTTCCACTCCCAGTTTAGGATTTGATGGACGATTTTTTTTTTCTCTCTTTTTTTTGTTCTTTTGGTGTTACTTTTCTGAGTATATTATTGGTTGTTGTTACAGGAAGGAATATGAAGATTTGAAGTTGACATCTCGAAGAAGTAGTTAAAGCTGGTAATATTTATTTGTGTTATACTATTTATACTATAAACCATAGTCTTTTTCTATAAACAGTTTCTCTCACCTAATTTAGCCTATTTTTGTTTATTGAGATTTTTGTCAGAGAAAGGATAAAGGTAAAAGTGATTGGAAGAATGAGTAACTTTCTTCCAGTGTTTTGTGTTTTGGGTTTTATTGTGTTTGTCAAAGTAAATTAGATACGAGTATCTTTTTCTTCTCTATATTCATTTTTCCCCTTGGCTGGTGAACATGATGAATTTGTTATTTAAACTACTTGGTATTCTTGGTAATGTCAAGATTTGGGAAACTGTATGATGAAATCTTTATTTCATAGTCGATTTTTCTGGTTTTGTGGTTTTGACTTGCAAAGTGAAATCATTATTATGACTGACTTCCTTGAAGATGTTTTCATTAGTTCATGATTCATGAGATACATAGTTATATGAATTAGACAAATGGAGTTTCAAAAGCAAAATCCATGTTATCTACTATGAAGATACCATCTTTCCTCTTTTAAATTACTAAAGAAACTTGGCAAGATCTTTGGCTGGAAAAAAATATGTTCAGAAAATAGTATGCCTATGCTTCACAACTTTGACCTTTGATGTTGGACCCAATTTTACATTTTTAGAAAAAAAGAAAAATTGGAAAATAATGCATAGAAACTTCTCTAGAATTTGCTTCCACATATATATACAGTATTTTGTTCCCTTTGGGGAAATTTCATCGGTGACATTATTTTATTGTTTGATTTATGTTGGTAAGACTTGTTTTTATGCTCTCTCAATAGATTTCTCCTCTTGTTTCTGTTGTCGCCATTTTTTTTTTGTGAAATCTTCTTTCTTCTAAGCAACTTTAAAGGTTCTTTTCTTTATATGAATATGTTATTATTGGAGTACATCTAATCCTGATCCTACTTTTGTAGCAGGAAATGACCATACTTTGGGTTTTGTTACTAGTGGATCTGCTCTATTGCATGGTGCTACTCAGACAAGTGCCTCACCCTGGTCTTCAGCATCAATGATATTTCCTCCAGCCCTAGGCATGCCTTTAAATGCTGAATGGAATGGGTATCAGATAGTTTGTTTCTGACATCACTTCTCTATTGTACACTGCATTTGTCTACTTGATGACATTTATTGTAACATTCATGTGTTGAATGTTCATCTGATGTTCAAATTGTGGGTGGTATTTGACAGATGGTGTTATCTTTGCTTGCTGAATACCGTATATGAATTTCATCTGATACATTTGAAAATCTGTCACTGTTTCCAATTTGTGCTTGTTAATGTGTAAGGTTTAATGTATGAGGTAATAGTGTAGTGAACAAGTACTTTCTTAGTTATAATTGAGATGAAGAAACTAATTCTTATCTTTTTGTGCCATGGTAGACTATCTTTTTACTCACCTTTACTGTGATCAAGATCTTCAGAGGCTGTGTTTCTTTTTTTTCAAGACTTTGAAGTTAATTGAAGTTAATAATGATTGTTGTACTCTGCATCTCCTTTGAAAATTGACAATAGGCTTGCTTTGCTATTTCATAGGTAATTTTCTTCTATACGTATTTCATAGGTATTTTGTAGGTAATTTTCTTTTATTTTTTTTGGATTTGGATTAATATCGTTTGATTAAAGTCTGAAATGTCATTCTTGCTTTGCTAAGCATGCTATCTATAGAACTTATTCAAATACTTGGCTTAAAACCTCAGGCTGTTAACAGTTGAACTAGTTAATTTCAAACCATGTGAAATGTGTGAAGTATGTCCCAATTAACAATGATTAACAAACTAATGCTGACTGTAACAATCAGGGAATAGTGAACTTGATGAATCTGCTTTGAAACCTGTGTTCTTAATAATATTGAGATTAGCAAAACTTTATGACCAACGTTGGACTAATTTTGAGATTTTACAAAAAATGAAAAATTGGAGAGCAACTCATAGAAACTTTTTTGTTATTTGCCTTCCCTATATATTTAGAGTTTTGTGTTCCATTTTAGGGGTTTTTAATAGTCACATGTGCTTGTGTCTTCTTTCTATGGGAGTAGAATAGATATCAAAAGTTTGATTAAATAAGTTGTTGCAAAAACTCAACAATCCATGTAAACCCTGCGAATATTCAATAGGAGCAACCCTGAAACATAATTGAATACCAATTTTTTAGATGAATATTGCCTTCACTATTTTTCTTTACACCTGAAAATTTTTATAGATTCTTGATGCTAGAGTAATATGAACTTTATTGGGAATAAAAGCTGAATTACATGACATTATTTAGAGTTGCATATATTTTGGCTTTTGGATTGGAGTATGTCATTAGAATATAAAGATATCATCTCTGGAGAAGTTTCTGCTTCATTTTTTCATTTTAGGATCTTCTTGGCCTATTTGTTTACATGATTTTATTTCCTTTTTCACCTTAATCTTCCATTGGCATTCTGTGTAAATTGCGCAGCTGCATGATCAAGTTGTGGAAAAGTTTACTTGCATACCATCTCCAAGGATCTGGCACATCTAATAGTTTCACTTTGGTGAGAACTCAAGTTACCAAGCAAGACACTTTAGGTTACCTATAAGAATTTTTTCATTTCTTGACTTTGACAACTACTGTACCAAAAAAAAAGAAAAAAGAAAAGTTTCTTGCTTGTGAAATGGGTTAAAAAATACAAGGGGTAACAAATTTTTTATGAGAGTATTAGTAACCAAAAGTGCAAATGTTTGTTGAATTTGTCCTGTACTTGTTGGCATTATTCAAGTCCCTTGATTTATTTTTAACTTGGTTTTACAGCAGTAAACTAATTTCGATGGATTATATCTTACTTTCTTTTTTGTTATAATACATGGCAGGTTCTTCAGCAGTTTCTTTCGAAATTGCTCATTACACTTCTGGGGTGAGTACGAACTACAGAAAATTTTTGTTTTTGGTTAAGTTAAAATATGTATTTATCGGAATCATGGAAGTTCAAGTTCAAGTTTCAAGATTCTACAAGACTAATTTTATTGTTTTATCTATTTATTATGATTTCCTTGACTATGAACAATCTATATTTATTGCGTATATTATTGTACTTTTCAATGACATAGTTTCCCATTTTTTGATCCTTAGTTGCGTTGCAGACATTTTGTAAATAGGGCATAACTGGGCACATAAATTTTAGAACTGTCCACCGTGCATTTGCGCGGTGATCTCCTCCTAGTACGACCAAAAAGAAGGGGAAAATGCTTGGGTAGAAATAGTTTGTTGACTCATTTGTAGAACATATTGGTATTCAAGAATAATTACTTTTGACATACGATGACATATGAAAAGTGGTAGTTATCATGTATGATGATGCAAGAAAATTAATGTATATGATTTACAAGTAAACTCATATACCAAGAACCTACTAAAGTATTTTTCAAAGAGGAAAAAATGAAAAAAAAATATCCTGCCAATATAGGACCTAAAACTCTACCGACACAGCCCAACAAAAAATGGGAGAGATTGAAGCTTGATTTGCCAATATATCCAAAATTGTATCCCTCATTTATGCTTGTGTGAGGAACCGAAAAACATTCATAACAACGAATGCTGATTGAAAAGGAACTAGCAAACAAGATATGGATCACTTTGGCATTCAATCAATAGCAACCATGTCAACTTGTTGCATAATGCGCGCAGTTTTTTGACTTCCAATCCATTGTATTTTGCTTCTTTTGCTCACGACCCTACACACGTGGTACATTGAACGAATCTGACTTGCTTAATCTAGCAAGTGGTGCCTGTCCTTATGCATCAATGTCTACTACTTGACCTGTACCACTAAGCACCACTCACTGAGTTCATATTATTGATTGATAAAGTTGATCTCAGAAAAATATTAAAAATAAATCATTAATTTAGGGATCGGAGACATCACAAGTTTAGTTTCTATCTAGTTTATCTAGTTCAAACTGACCATTATAATTCTTATAATTTTTAGTATAAATTCATATAGTTTAGATGTAAACTTGAATTTGTCAACTCATACAACTAAGTTGATGCACAATTCACAATTACTTCAAAATTGTACTAAGTTTATACTAGAGGTTGTAAAAGTTCCAGTAATTTGTGTAAACTTGACATATTTCAACTTGTGAGGTCTGGATCCCTGACTCAGACTGATTTTTTGCTATATATAGATGCCATCTTTACTCTTTTCAAACAACTCTTTTGAAACACGAATTGCAAAGAGATTGAAGATTGGAGATGGCTAAATCTCGACTGATCAGCTACAATACCTTGGTTGCAGTCCTCTTCTGCTTTCTCCTCATTGCTTCAATCGGTTAGTTGTCAAAAACTTTCACTATTTATACCGAACTTTGCAGTGAATCACGCACCTGAAGTCATTCTTTATTCCAATTTCCCAAGTATGTAATGCTCTGGCATGTTGTCATTTATCAATATTAACATTACATAACAAAATTTTAAAAAGAATCAGTATAGTACTTAACTACAAATAATAGTCTTAAGTCCAAGAGAGATTATCAAAGTTGGATATAAAAATGCACCTCTCTTACACTACATAAACTAATGGTTTTTTTTTTTTCTGAAATGCGGTCATCAACTTTTTTTTCTGTCAACCGACATTTACAACTTAGCCCCTCACTTGTTCTCGTTCTTTACTTAGGCCTACTATACTGCCTTATGAAAATTAAGAGTTGCATGAAAATCACATATTTACATTAATCTTTAGGGCCCTTTAGAAACTATTAGAAAGGGTAAACTTGATTTAGCTTTACTAGGCATCATGCTCTGATCACATAAACAAGAACAATTAACATAAAAACTGAAAAATTTTTAACATGTTCTTGCTTATTGTGTACAGAGTTACAGATGGCGGAGGCCGTAGGAAAAATTTGCTCGAAGCGCAGCCAGACATGGACTGGGATATGCATCAAAACTGAGAATTGCGACAGCCAATGCAAGAGTTGGGAGGGAGCTCAGCATGGAGCTTGTCACAGAAGTGGCTTTGGATTTGCTTGCTTCTGTTATTTTAAATGTTGAGGGAAAACTCCATCTTTGGTTCCATTAAAACTGTCTGTGTTTGCTGTTTCTGGAGTTACAAAAAGCTAGCTGCTGCAAATTCCCAAGATTTGCAGGCAGAAAATGGGAACAAATGCTGTACTAGGTACAACCATGAACGTCCAGAGTAGTTTTATTGTTGCTAAATAAGGGTATGGTGTTCCCGTTTGATCTGTTTGTTAATGTTATTTCTTGTTATCCTAATATTGGAATATTATGCAAGAATCTTATATTGAATTTTATTTTCTAATTAATATAAAAGGTCATGTAAATCTGTTGGAGAGTATTCTCATCAATTCTTATCAAGTAGATGCAGATATTAATATATGAACAAAAAAATCCGATAGAAAATATTTCCATTGGAAAATCATCAAAAATTTATCTTGAAAAAAGGGCTGGGACAGGATCAATACTAAGAGTAATAAAAGTACTGAGATTGGTACTTATTCTGGTCAGGACAAAAGGGGAGAAGGCTGAGCTTGAATTGGACAATTTTAAGAGCAGTCTTGTTGACACCATCTCTTATGGCGATGTGCTTAATCTTTGTCCAAATGACTCTTACCAAAAACTAAAACCAGAACTCCCAACAAGCTCTTAATACCATAAGTTGCAGAGAAGCCACAATTGCATCAAATATGAAACAAGATTTCGACTGAATCGAGTCATCTACCAGGTGATACTGATTCATCAAGTGGTACAAAGCTATTGATTGATTGAGTTATACGAGTTACCAATACCAGCAAAGTAAACGACTGGGACAGGTCAATCCTAGAGAACCGAATAAAAGTTTGCCTACCAAGTTGAAAGAAAGAGCTGGCAGCATCTTTTCTATCATTTGTGAACCAAATTTCGTCAAGAATAGTACATCATTTATTTGTCATTACACAAGAATATTTCCAAAATTTTAATCAAAACAAAGGTAGAGATCAGGAAATATGCTTGCTAAAATTACATGCTGCAACTTGCAACTACCTAAATCTAAGGTCAAAAAATCATTCTCAATGGAGAAAAAACATTTCATTTACTCATAATCCAAGCCATCATCACCATCCTCAAACTCTACTTCAGCATCATTAGACCCACCAAGAAGGGAGATAAAGACCAATACTGCAACAAGTTGGGTTACCAAAAAATATTTTGCTCTCCTCTTGAATTTCTTCTCTTCCTCTGTCTTTTCCCTCTTAGGTTTACTCTTAGGATTCGATTCTACATTTTTTCAACAAAAGCAGCATCAATAAAAGGTCAACAGTTTAAATCATAATGAACATGTGGTCAACGTATTTTCAGCACATACAGCAGCCAACAAGAAGGCCAAAACATTAAATACCAAGGAGAATACAAATTCCAATTAAACGGTCCACGACTGCTGATTTCATGTTACTGGACATCGATATGACCATTATCTAACTAGGATACTATGATACACTGAAAATAGCACTTAGCAGTCAACAGTGTCAATATCTTCGCTAAATGTTCATAGCAAACTCATGCACTAATGTCCAGACTTCCAGGAGCTATATTAAATATGATATTCGCCTATGGCCATTGTTCTGATGTATACCAAAAGCAACAAGGAAAAATAGCCTTCCAGTCATATCGAAATTATGTAGCAATGTGCTGGCTTATAAGATTGTTAGCATATCTGACAGCAGACAAAGGATATGGAGGTTGGCCTCCTCATTTTAAAGGCATTAATCCATTACTTCTAAAGCCCTAATTGACATAAAAGGCAAGCGTCTCACTACATCAAATGAAATCCATATGCAGAGAAAAACGAAAAAAAAAAAAATTTTGAGCATCTAGACATTTTGCCCAAAAGGAGACAAGAAATGAGGCTCAATTACCCTGCTATTACTGCACCATCACATTGAAATCGGAAGGACTCACCTTCGCATTAAGCAAAATTCCCCGGTTAAATCTAATTTTTACATAGTTCTTACCAGCTGCATTTGATTTTGCTCAGTGAGATTGCAACTAAATAGAAATACATAAACCATCCACAATGAAATTAAGCTATGCTGGTACACGCACGTTCAAGATAAAAACTTCTAATACTTTGAGGTTCTTGAATGAATTACGTTCTTGGAAAACAAGTTTTAGCATAGCAAATTAAAGCAGAATTGTGGAAAAAGAAGACAAGAAAGTCCAATGTGGTGCATAGCAAGAATAAACTATTCCAATCTCTGGACAAACATTGATGTAATGCTTTGAGCCTTTCATTGTTTATGCTAAACGGTAACAAGAAAGTCAAACGTGTATGAACTTCTTTAAACTGTGGACAAAAGGATGATGTAACACATTTCAGACTTATCTTGTTCTACTATGATCACTAACTTACGATGCTTCCCATTACACAAATTCAATTACACTAAGTGAGAAGAAAATCGTGAGTGATCTAACAAAACATAAAGTTTTACAAGCCTTGTTTGAATTATCAGACTTATAAGCCAAACAATTGTTAAACGTCAAAGTTCAGCTAGTCTGGGCTGAAAGATAATGTCATCCACCCCTTGGCTCTCCCTACCAACCAAAAAAAAAAAAAAAGGAATATCTCCAGAACACAGAATTTAAGTGAAGGATAAAATTTGTGGTGTCTTTATACCGTTGCTTCCATGGCAGAATATTATAACAATCCAACAAATAGCACACAGAATCCAATTAATGATTTATCTGTCTACAAAGTACCCATGAGCACCTAACTTAACATATACCTCCATCGCACATAATCACTACGGTTTAGAGAAATTCAGTTCATTATGAGTATCAGTTTCTTGTTTCCAAAAGAACATTAAAATGAGCCAATCAAAATAAATCAGAACTTACCATGATACTAATTACGAATAAAATCATCTCAAGGATAAAAGGGAAAGTAGAACACACTCAACAACGGCTAAAAACAAATAGTAATCTACAATTAGTTGTAGTTTAAGCTTTCTTCTAGAGGTATTGATTGCAGCAGCTGGATCAATAAGAAGTTTCCAGGGATCATTAGCAGCATGGACTAATTAAAAACATATGCCTAGTAAGATGTAAGGTGTTACCATTGCAGATAAACCAAGGAAAAACTACACACAAGCAAGAGACCTAAGACTTGCTCCAATTTGAAGGACCTCTCTTAGGCATTGAGGAGGAGGGATCAGACCGAGATGGCGAGACAGAAGATGAAGAAGAATCAGCATCTACAAACTCCGCTTTAAGATTTTCTGCATATCTAACAAGATTAGCATGATCCAAAAGCTTACTTCGCAGTACTGACGTCTCCTGTTTGCATGCAAGTAAAGCTAGGTGAGATTAGAAAGTCAGAAAACAAATCATCAAGACTTCTAATTGGAATTCATGCCTGAATCGTATTCCTCACTTGATCAATCTCACATGCCACTAATCGTCTTTCATTTTTCTTTGAAGCTATTTCACATCAATTTGCAGAATAGTGACCAAAAAATGTGATCAGAGCAGAGGAAATACTAGTCCAATAAATGGTTTCACAGTTCTTTGAAGAAGCAAATAAGACACTTTTACCCTATCCTCTTGAACATGAAGCGAAACAAGCATAGAAAAAGGAAAGGAATATATTTCGCCTAAAATGTAAAAGTTCACCATCTCTTTACTTTGACATTCAATGCAGGGCATGAAGGAGCAATTTCTAGAAGAAAAAGTTACATGCTAACTCTACATTCATAATAAAAATAGATATCACTACGGAATCAGGCACGTCTAATCATTCGAAGAAATGTCCAGCCACTTCATCAAGAAGAATACCAAGTTCATATGATATGATTTGCCAATATTCAACAAAATAAATGAAAATAAGAAATCGCTTGACAAGGATGCCCCAGAGCAACAGAAGATCAAGCTAGGTATAGAAATCCCCTTTTTCTCCCTGCTAAATGCAACCAAATGCATTTATACTGGAAGTCAACATCAGATGACTTTCACTCTCCTCAATATACAACTGTCCAATTTATTGATGCATTTGTTCAAAGATGTGTTCACGTGTTATTTGCTAGTCGTGCTTCAGCAACTACATTTTCAAAGGCTGTCACGAAATTACCATTTAACAGCATTAATTACATTTAAACTACTTCATTAATTTCCGTTGTATTGAAGGTCCTATTCACAAGCAACTGATATACAAATTTTCAAGTTATTTAATAGAAACCAAAATTTGTTCTCTTCGTATTGGTTCTTTGCCTAAACAAGAACCAAAAAATCGTCTATAGATTGGAAGAACTTGCCCTTCTGCGGAATTAATTGTGTTTTGGTTTTAATCATAGTTTTGTTTCCAAATTGCAGAGCCAATTTTAGGTTATGTCATCAAAAAGAGGTGCTGAGACTTGATTATGTGTAACAGAATATCTCTGGAAACTGACTATGATTCAAAAGCAATTCATAAGCATTTTATTCCCTTGAACACTGTATGATGTAAGTTTTTTAAAGTCTAGCCTCAAATGGTTGATATACGTCACAACCAACTTCCACTTTAAATTTTTCAATCTAAATGATTTCCAGGCTAAACAGAGCATGTTATTTTGGACAGAATACCTCGTCAAACGTCAAGGCTTGAATGTTTTTGGAGGGTTTCATATTAGGAAAATAAATTCAGAATTGTGCGAACTCAGTAAGAGATACATGAAAATTATGCTCTAATTTCTAACATCCTGAGTACTCAACTAAATTCAAATCCAAACCCTGGGGTAAGAACCTACCTCCTAATCCCAATCAAAAGACGTATGCGACGGGGTTGTGCCCAGGAAAGGCAATCAAAATGTGTTATGGCCTCGAAATCTTGAAAAATGTGGTGCTTAAGCTAGGTAAACAAGTGGATATTCACTAGTTTATTTATACAGAACTCTAACAACCATTGTTCAACTGAACAAAAAACTAGCTTTCTACGTGACTTAGTACAAATGCAAACCTCAAGAAATCATTCACCTTATGCCAGAATGATCAAAGAAAACAACACGAACACTAAAAAAACCCTAGCTTATTACAATATTAATTAGATTCCCACTGGCCACTCAGAAAATTTTGCATCCAGGTGCAAAGTTTATTCAGACTCCTAGAGTAGCTATCCATTCATTTCAGTAATAGCCAGAGTCACCTGATAGTAACAGCTATGTTTGAAACTTGCGAGGATCAGTTTTGAGTTAAAAATCATATACGACATATTCCAAAGCCATTAATCTTCACTCAAAAGCTTAACGTCCTATGGTATATACTAAGAAAAGAGGGGAAAACAGCACTTTCTGACAGAAGTTGCATATGGGTCAGGCCTATCTACAGGACAATGCACTAATCCAGGGTCCACTTCAATCAAACCATGAAACAAACTATATTCAAGATTTATGCAACCATTAAATTTTGCATGAATATCAAAATCTCTTTTGCCCTTTTCAATTTTTTCTTTAATTTCTTTTTTCTTTTTAAAAGAATGTGTGTGATATAATTCCCAAGGAGGAAAAAAGTCCATAGTTGTTGGAATGGGTAAATACAGATAAAACCTTAGAGACCAAAAAGCAAGTCCAATTTTTTGGTGGTACTGATCATTCAACGAAAAGAGAAAACGGCATGCCACAGATTTAATGCTGCAGCAAATTAAAGTGAGCTTGAAAATAGATCAGCATGTAATAAGTTGCAAGGAGGCCTTAGTCTAATGGCTAAGGGTTGAGATCTCGGGTCCTAGAGATTCTAGGTTCAAATCCCCTTTCCCCCTCCCCACTTCTTAAATCCCACCCCTCCCATGCTGGAAAATTTTTTTTTTCATTGTAATAAGTTGCAAAATTACTCACAGGTAACGCATGAAGTGTGAAAAGCGCATGACCAAGAAATATGGCATCCAGACTTGTAGGCCTACATTAGAGAAGAAACTTAAGATCTCAAATGAAAACGAATATCAGATAGTAAACAGCAAGAGAATTTATTATATCTGACAAATTCCAGATCAACAAAAGATAAAACTATGTGATCTTAAGAAATTACCTGTTCTCAAAGAAAAAAGATTGTTCACCTAACCTAGTTGACAAAGCATTATAAGCAGTCGCAGCTCTCCTATAGATCTGGCCAGGGAAAAAATCACAATAAACTTCTAATTTTGAACAAGTTTAAATATCGGATTCTAGCATTGTTGAATCCAACAAAAGAAAAAAGGGAAAGTCATTCACCTCCTCTTCCCTTCTCTCAGCATTCCCTTTAGTTATTCCGAGTAGTTGTTTCACCATATGAATTTGCTTAAAGTATAAACACTTTCCTATAGGCCACGGGAGATCAGAATAATATATCTTCTGTGCTGAACTTCCATCAGACCCGACCCAAAGCTCATACATGACAGCTTCAGCAAGCCATGATTCCACCATTGCTTTTGTTGATACCCATTCAGGGATACCAGAGACATCGGAGTCCAAATCAACAGTTTGCTCATCCTTTAAACTCTGGATAACTCCACCTTTTTCATTGTTATAGACCACGTGACTACCGAATTCAACGTAAGGTATTTGATCTGCAAATATTAACCAACTTACCATGTTGTAATAGCCATAGAAATATCAGGATTTGTTCACAAAAGCTATTACAAAAGAAGATAAACCAACTCAAGCTGAAACAATACACCAACAAATGAAGGTAACTTATATTCTCCTCAAGCTAACCCTTCCTTCCCCTCATTTTTCCAGAATACCTTCATGCCTATTCTGGGCTTTCCCTAATTGCATAGGAAAAGACAGATGATGAGGACACAAATGATAAATAAATGTGTTAAATGTCTATTACAAATAAGACCAGGCAGAAGCCATCAAATCCTCTGTTTTCTAAATTATGCTTCACATTCCAAATTATGCTTCATATAAGGCCAATCCAAGGTTGACCAACAGCAGATGTTTTCAGACATGTAAACCCAGTTTTTACATATCTAAAGAGGTTTCCTACTAAAAATGCATCAAAACAATATCAGAACTATTCAAAACCCCCGACTTGAACGACAAAATTCAGCACAATTATCCCATCACAACCACGAACTCTACTAAACGGAACCCATTCGATATGGGGGAAAAAACTGCCGCAGACAAAAAGTGCATATTGGGAAAACAGAATACTTTAATCAATTGCAAGCCACCACCAAAAACGCAATTTACCAAAACATACAAATACACTAAGCAATGTACTTATCAACATTGAGTAGCACCTTATTCTTAGAATGTACCACCAAGGCCACCAACTAATGAAAAATTACAAGAAAAGCATGAAACTTGCAGCTATCCAACAAAATTACAAAATCAACTAATACCTTATGCTGCAAAAGTTGTACGTTGCCTCCCAAAAAAATTCTACACACCCAATCTAACTCTAATAAGAAGGAAAAAAAACCAGAAACCCAGAAACCAACCGTAAAAAGGGGCAAAAAGCTACAACAAACAGCTAACTTTCACCAAAATATACAATCTATCGTAGAAAATCACCTGCCTCTATTGAGTAGCACCTTAGGCTTAAAATCTCGCTCCTAATACCACAAACTAAATTCAACTAAATAGCACATTTATCAGCACAATACCGAGAAGAACAAAACTTGCAGCTATTACATAATAAGACAACCACAAAAGCAGTACTTTAAGCAATAAAAGTGGTACTTTTAGACCAATAAAGAAAATATTTATCAATTCAGATAGATACAGTACCAGAATCAGGATAGATGAGATTGTATTCAACATCAAAAGGGAGTTGAGCGAATCTGAGATAAATATAAACGGGTAAACAAGTCGGGCATGCGGTGGGTAGTCCGAAACAGGGCTTCCGTGTCACTAGCGTTAGCTTTTCTCCGTTCTTCACTTCTTCCATTGTCAATTAGAACTAGGACGCAATAGATATATTTACAGAAAGCAAGAAAGAGGGATTGAATTGAGTTTTGAATTTGGAGGAGAAAGAAGGCGGAAGGAGATGGCTGACTGTAAAACCCTAGGGGTTTTGCTGGAGCCACCGGTGACTGTGAGTAAATGTAGGCCTGCCCGGCCCAGATTCGCTAATTTTTTCCAAATATGAGTTTAAATATAATTTCGTTTACCTGACTCGAATCGGGATTCGTTTTTTCTAATAAAAAAGCAGGTCAAATATGAAATATTGAATTCTAACTCGTATTTGACTCAAACTATTTAAATAAATTAATAATTATAAAATATATATATAATTATTAATACAATAATACTTATTATTATAATAATATATACTTATTATTATACAATAATACTATAATAATATATACACTTACTAATACAATAAGAGTAAATTTTATATATACTGTCAATGTATACAGAATCACGGTTGGAAGGGTGACACATGAGCAAATTTTAAATTTCAAATTTTATACATGTGTCATATATCTAATGGTAATAATGTATACACTAATAGTGTATATAAGATTAATCCATACAATAATACTTATTATATAATAAATTAATAATTATCAAATATATATACTTATTATAAAATTCGATTCATATACGACCCATCTCGTATCCAGGACCCATACAGTCCGGATTTGGAAGATCAAGTGTAAGACCTGTTGGGTATACGGTTGAATCCGAAACATGTCTATTAAAACTAGTTTAGGTCTGAAATGTTCAATTTCGATTCGTACCCAACCCATTAATAAGTCTAGGTAAATGAGTGGGGAAGATTTTGGAACAGGTTGGAGACTTTAAAAGAGCGGTGATGATATGAGAATTCATTCAATAAAAAAATAATAAGGAAAAAGAAGCCCAAATTCAAAAGTTTCACAAATATAACTTTGTTTTGATTATTGTTTGACCAAATTACCTAGGGTTAAATATTGTACACAAAAGCCCCAAATTTGGTTTAGCCAAAATTCAGGAAAGTCTCAATAGGTCAGTACAAGTTGGTTCAATTGGTAAGAACCGGTCACTTCTTCACAAAAGGTCTTGTATTCAAATTCTATTGTCGATGTGAGAGTTGTATTGGTGAACAATTAGTAAGAAGGTCCGTAGATGACCGATGGTTTCGGAGAGATACCCTGACTCGTGGTGGTGATTGGAATTGACCCCACCCAAACTATTTCCTACCAAAGAAAAAGGGAAAGCCCCAGCAATTCAAAAACCCTCCAAAGAACCCCTAAGACTAAATTAAAATATATGAAAAGCACCCAAATTATCAAATAAAGGTAGAAATATCTATTATGTTGCAGTGCCGCTCCTTATGTTTTTATTTCTTGTTTGTTTTATTTCTATTTTTTATTTTTTTTAGGCCAAAAAATAATATTTTATTGATAATAAGGAAACACAACATACATATAATGAGAAAATCTCAAAACTAAACAAAACTAGCCAAAAACTAATAACCAATGAACATTATACAAGTCACTGATATAATGGGTTTATCAAAAGTTTGGCAGGTTAACACAAGATTTCTAAAACTACTTGTAAGTTTAACAAAAACTTTGTAGGTCAAAGCAAAATTTATAAAATTTGCCTTATTCATGAACCGGCAGTGGGAGTGGATTGGGCCGCATAGTCGCAAGCTATCATTGTTGGTGGCAAAATTTAGGGAAATTTGCACCTGAAAACTACCAATTTGTTGGATAGATCATAACTTTCATGTCTAATTTAGCAAAAAAAAACTACAAATTTGCACAACTTTTTTGTTATTTCCCTTGCATCCACACACTGACCAAGTGTTCTGGACACAATCACCCTAGGCTAAAATTAAAATTTGCCATAAATATTAGAGTAAATCTTATATACACTGTCAGTGTATACACTATCATGGTTGAATGAATGACACATGGGCAAAATTTTGATTCCAAATTCAAATTTTGCACATGTGTCATATATCTAACGGTGTTTGTATATACATTGATAGTGTATATAAGATTAATCCTAAATATTAAAGATAGAAAATGACTATTGAATGGATTAGTCAAACATTTTCAACAGTCATTATCATCCTCTTGAATGGATTAGCCAATTTCTAACCTTGTAACTAGGGATGCTGTTGAGTCGAGCTCGAGCTCGAGCTTGAGCTCGAACACGCCCCTGACTCCAACTTGAACTCTCACTGTAGCTGTAAAAAACTCGAGCTCGACTTGTATAATATTCGAGCTCGAGTACTCAACTTGAGTTCGAAAAATGAGCTCGAAAACCTGTGTTATCCAGATCATAATTCAGCAAAAACTGAGTGCGAAAAACATGTGCTTTCCTTCAGCAAAATAGCAACTCATATTAAAACATGCATTTTGTTTCATTTCAACACGAATGCCAACCATGTGATTCTAGCACTTTAAAATCCACAATGACTAGTTAACATGATAGTTTTTCAATAGCCAAAATAGCCATGCAAGCAAAAGAATTAGAGAACTTGATCTTAATAGAATTTAGGCATAACACGCTGAATGTACAGATTTGAGATCAAGTTCTCTATACAACATTCTATCAAAATAACTCATGTATAGATTTTAGTCAAATACAAGTTGGCAGCAGCTACACAATTTCACTTGAGCGAAAAAAAGAAGTCACCAGATTCAGCAAAAACTATACAGATTTGAAACAAGTCATTTGAGATGTTAACTGCATAGAGTCCAGACTCCAAAATTCCAAGTTTCTAACACCCATTGCCAACCAAAAATTAAAGTCCCATCAAATATCACCAAAGACAAAAAATAAATCAAATTAAGGTACAAAGTTATTGAGAACTATAAATAACCACAATGCCAAACTTGATTCAAAATGAGCCCTTTGCAATAAACCTTCAAACCTTGGGCAATTCAATTTCTTTGATTATTTTAGCTTGCTATATTTGCAATAAAAACCACCCAAGGCAAATAATTTAGAAATAAAAGAAGTCGTAACTTGTCGAACTTGGCCACAAAAATTGAATGATAAAACAATAAAACTTACTTTCACTTTCTTTGAGATTCCGTGAAACTTTCTACACTAGTCCCCTGCACACAATGACACCTAAACTATATCTGGATGAAGGGAAGCACGATAGCTATCACTAACTCAAGTTTTGGCACTAAATGTGGCCCCAGATGTCACTATAGTTACCGGAATAGCCAAGATGTCAACCGCCATTTCGGATAATATTGGACACGCAATCCTATTGCTTTTCCACCATTCCAAGCAATCATCAGCAGCTGGGTTGGAACCTATTTTTAGTCAAGCCTTTTCTAAATAATCCACCAATTCAGATTTCTGTGGCTCAGTAGTCTCCATTTCATCACAGTACTTAACAAATTCAATTCATTTAGAACAAGATGCTGTATTTTTTGTGGCTCTTCTGAAGCACAAGTTTGGACTGCATTTTCTTTTCCAACTGCATTCAAATCTACATACTCATATAAAGCTCAAATAAGGCTTTCTTCACATTGGAAATATGTTCTTGTGCCTGAAAAGATGGAAACATTTGAGGGAAGGCGAACTCTACAACTCATTTTCGGCCTTGGATCTAAAATGGCAGCAATAACCATTAACAAATTGCATTCGCCCCAATATTTTTCAAACTTGGCCTTCATCTTTTCAACCATAGCTCGGATGAAGCCATCTTCATCATTCACTCGAGAATCTAAGAATTTCTTAATTTTCACAACCTCTTGGAGGAACAAATTGCTCGTAGGATATTCACTCCTAGTTATTACATGCGTGCTACCCAAAATTTCTCTAACACAAAGCACACTTTTTTTGCTTTTTCCCAATCCTCATGAGCTGGACAGGAATCATAGGGTGGCTCTCTATCTTGAAAACGAGGAAAAACATCTTTGAATTTCATAGCATAGCTTAGCATTTCAAAGGTGGCATTCCATCTTGTGCGACAATCATAAAGCAACTTTTTCCCCAATATTTGAAGTTGTTGTGCAATATCAGTGAACGACAATAATATGGTCTCTGAGCGATTCACAAAATCAATGTTGTCCCTAATTTTGTTTACAATATCCACGATCTCAGAAAAGGCCAACTCAAACAATAAGATTCAAGATATGTGCATAGCATCGAACATGGAATAACTTGCCTCCACCTAATAGCTTCTTCGATCTACTAAAATCATCCCGCAAAACTCTAATAACCACATCATCAGGCATAGTATTGTCAACTGAAATTCTGTGTATCTTCTGCTCGATACCCCAATTCTTCACACACTTGAAGAGTGAAGCAGTAATCTCAACCCCTCGTCTAGGAGGTGGTATGTGAACAAAGTTGAGCACTCTTTTTTGTAGCTTCCAATCCGAATCAATCGAATGGCTGGTGATAACCATATACTCATCTTTTAATTTTTGGATTTCCAAAAATCGGTTATGAGGCTCATTTTTTTCACATTTCTCAACTTGGTTTTTAGCTTCTTTTTCTCAAGTTCATAGATTGCCACACAATCATTTTTTGCTACTCCTGTAGTGATCCTCTGCCACTCGGGCATGCCACACTTTAGGAAAATATTCAAACCTTCTTCTTCTAGTATGGTGAAGGGATGTTCGTGCATCAAAATCCAATGTGCAATTGCTTCTTTCATTTTCTCCATATCAAATTTCTCGGTATGCAAAGGTGGTACAGTAGAAAATGCCTCATCAGCAGGCTAAAAGTTTAGTTTCGTTTGTTGTGCAGCTTGTCTTAAACTTGCTTTTTCTAGTTGGACATGAATTCCGGTGCTGCCACATGCTAGATGTTTGCTTTGATTTACTGCTAGATAGCTTTTTATTGCAGTAACCGCAAATGGTATAGTAATTGCCATTTTCTTCATATTCCTTGAAGTCCTCCCAAGCTTTAGAAGTTATATTTCGTTTTGGAATATGGAATTCATCATCTTCATCTAATTTATCTTTTTCTCCTTCTATATTGTTATCCTCAGCAACCATAGCTTGTTGTCTTTCTTGTATATTACCCAAAGGAGTACTTTGTGTAATCCGATTAGTCATCATGTTTGTTGGATTCATCGTTGACTCATTGGAGGCATACATTGTGAGCCCAAAAATTATTTTTGTCATCCATGATTTCATCTAGAATTTGAATGTGTTGCAATTTGCATGATATGATTTACTTTCCATGTT